CTCCATTACTGCACAGTGCAAAATAAACCATAACATTGGCCATAGGTACATGGAAAACTTTAAAAAATAACAAAGCACAAAATGATTCCTTAATACCTGATTACTGATTTTCTTGTATTAAGCAGCATATAAGTATTACAAATAAACTCTTTAGTCTCCTGCTGTAAATTTTTGCTACAGCCAAAGGGTTGATTTCTGCCTTGCATTTAATGATGGTGCCGGTTTCTGTTGTTTCTTTAGTTACTGTGTTTCTTGTGTCATTTCTGTATTGCTGTCAGCATCACAATTTAATTAGTTCTTTCTATTCTGTGTGCCCACCTATTCTGTACTTATTGTAAGTAAAATGTAGATGCCTTAACTATTAATGCTAAAGAGAGAAATGTGTTGATGCAAGAGTACTGATGCTTACTTGTATTGGGTGCTTTTACTGAAAATTTGCTCAGTTGTGAAGTTCAGTTCGCCTGTGTTATGTCTAAATCAGAAAATTGCTTACAACAAATGGGTGTAATAAGAGGCAATATTAGGAAAACTCTTCGTGAAGGAAGGACTGCAGCTTAGGCTCTCTTGCTTGATTGTTGTCATGATTAATAATCTGAGAGCTATGGAAGCATGATGTTTCTTGAAATGTCTAGTCTTTAAGGAAAGAGGCTTCTAAAAAGCAACAATTGGAAAATGTCTTGCCTTTTTTGGAAATTCGGGGCCAAGTGAGGAGAGCACAGTATTTACAAGTGAAGAAGAAACGTCTGTACAAAAGCTGCAGCTAAGGTGGAACCTTTTTTTTGCTCAAGCTTACATGGTCATGCATGCAGCTGTGTAACAAGTGACAATGCCCACTTCCAGCTGAGCAATCCCACTTTTCATGTCTTGCTGCTGTGGTTGCATCCCATGAAAAGCATTCATCCACTGGAGAGGGTTTCACTCTTTTCCCCTGTTGAATATCTCACTGATGAGTAGTTCGCCTCCAGTCTTGGCTTCCACCTGTTTCCCCAGTGAATAGCTTCTGTCACAGGGCTAACTTTAAAAAAAAACTGCTAGGAGAACCTTTTAAAATAAACTTTAACTTTGGAAAAGAAGTGTTTTCTACATGCTGTGTCCTGCTCATTTTTAAGGTAATAGTATGTGGGTCCAACTCATAGAAATCTGTGCAAAGACTGCAGACACACTTTAAGATGTCCTGTGTCATGGAGTGCCATGTTATGGGTTCCGTGGGATAGATAAGGAAACTTCTATTCATATATTTATTTACAACATATATATGCCACTCCATCTTTCAATACAGAAATTTTGGAGTGGTGTACAGTAAAAGAGAAAATGGATGAAATAAGGAAAATGTTAAAAAATGAAGTCAGTAAAACAGCAGCTGGTTGCTTCAGGAAGATTTCTTGAAATAGAAGATTGCAGCACCTGCTGTCTGCCTTCCCTCCAAAGGAATTCCAAAGTACCTAAGCCACTCCCCTGGAGCCTTTACCCTGGGGGGAAACTACTCAGGTTATAGGTCTTTACTGAAACACCCATCTGATGCCCACAATGATTTGCGTAGGTTGGTACAGGGAGAGCTGCTTTCTCAGGCTGAGAGATGCTGCAAGAATAAATTTAGTCATTTTCGTCTTTCTGTGCTGAGGATTTTCTCCCACCACAAGCTGTAAACTCTTATCTGACCACTCAAACCATGGTTGTACAGTGGAAAATATACTTCTCATGCACATATACGTGTACTTAGATGCTTGCTTCTCATATCTGATTGCTCAGCTAGGGGTGCAGACGTACTTTCAAAAGTTTCTGCAGTCCCCTGTGTCTGGATTTTTTCCCTTTGATCTTCAATGAATCCACCAGCCATCTGAGGGAATTTCACTTCTCAGGCTCACAAATGATGAACACTGAGTACCTTGGACTTTTGTCTAGGCAAAAATGCAAAGAAGGGGGGGGGGTCTTTAGAACAGCATAGGAATGTAGTAATTTCAACTTTATTTTCTTGTGCCCTTCCTGTTGTTGTTATGTGGCATCAAGTCATATGTGACTAACGGCAACCCCGTGAATGAAAACCCTCCAGAATGTTCTATCCATCACAGTTCTGCCCTGCTTTTACAAATTCAAGTCTGTGGCTTCCCTAATGGAGTCAACCCATCTCAGATTTGGTCTTTTCCTCTGACTTTGACTTTCCCTAGCATGATTGTCTTCTTCAGAGAGTCTTGTCTTCTCAAAGAACGACAGACTCTGTTTTTACATTTTTGCTTCTAAGGAAAGCTTTGGCTCGATTTGATTTGACAAACCCTCTCGTTTGTAGGCCCACGGTATTCTCAAAGCTCTCTTCCAGCACCGTGTTTCACATGCATCAGTTTTCTTCTTACCAGCTTTCTTTTTCTTCACTGTCTGGCTATCACAGCCATACATAGTAATCATGAATACAGTCGTGTGGATGATCTTGGCCTTGGTCTCTGGTGAAGCATCCCTATACATAAATGATGTTTTCTAGTTCCTTCATTGCTGCTCAGTCGTCTTCAGTCCCCCTTTTAATGGATGACTGAGCCGAGGTATGTAAAATCTTTCAGTTTCTTTCATTGAATTTGAAATCCTTCAATGTCTTCATTGTTAACAGTACAGTTCTGTACCCTTCCAATGTGTATGATTTGTTGTGGTGAAGGTTGTGCTATAGGCAGAACGTCAGACTTGGAAAGTTCGGAGTTCTTTGAATCTGAGCTCAGTCACAAACTTTATCAGGCAACCTTCAGTAAATCACAGCTTCTCAGCTGGACCCTACCTCACAGGGTTGTTGTGAGAATGCAGTGGAAGGGAGGTATGTGAGTGCATGTTTGGCTGTGCATGTGCATATATATGTGCATACAGCAGCCATCCCCAACCTGGCTAGGGGCACTTGGAGTTGTAGAGCAACACATCTGGATCGTACCAAGTTGCAAGATGGGAAGAAAAAATAATTTGGGAGGGAGAGAGAAGATGTGCACCCCTGCATTAATGTTAGAGGGAAGATGACAATATTTTTTTAAAGCAGCAGTCTAACTTGTAGTTTAGTCTGTGTTTGACTTGATGTTGTTATACCTAGATATGTGAAAGGAAGGCAGTAAAGTCATAGGAACTATGTGAATATCTCTTTCAAATCTTTATCTTCTTCTCAGATTGACATTTTTCAAGGCTCATAAAACAGTGATACAGATGGAAGCATTTCAGTAGCATATAATAGATTAGATGAAAAAAAATCTAATGAGAGAGTCCTCTGAGGTTTCCTTTATGTTATAGCAGCACTTGTGGTAAAGTGAAAACTAATATACCAGCTTATTAAGTTCAGCAAATGTGCTTTTAAAGCTATTGATTTTTCCCTCGTGTTGCAGTTTGTTTGCCTCTGCACTTTTTGAGACAGAAAAGCTATATGCCAGATGTATGATGCAGCACGCATCACTCAGGATGCTTCTTGGAGGGCGCTGGAAAGCATTCGGCTAGCTTGTAGCTTCTATGCGTACCCATTAATGAGTGCTGCTAATGGTGTCGCTGCTCAGAATCACCACCCAGCCAGGTTTCATGTAAGCTGAGCCAATGCTGTGATTGCCTCAAATCAGACAGTTTGGCGTCAGGCTCTTTCTGAAATAAGCAAGGTAAGGAGCAAAACATACTGCTCCTTGGGCTGGATTAGTAGAATTCAGACCAAAGGTGGTTAGCCTGTTTTTGCTGAAGGGCACATTCTCTGTCGGAGAAATTCGGGGGAGGCACATTCGAATGGTGAATAGGGCTGACTATAAAAGCTGGAGGCAGCTAAAAATGTGTGCAGCCTCCACACATGCGTGTGCGCACACACACGCACACACACTCACTCTTCCATTGTTGGCCATTTACATAACATGAGCAGCATACCTACTCACAAGCAAGCAGGGCAAATTTCCTTTTGACTAACCATGAGAAAACAGGACTGGAGTCCGGACTGAATTTCCCAGAAGTTTCCTCACCTGGCCACACCCCTCTTCCCTGCTTGTTCTTGCTGCTGATGAGCTGCAATTCTGTGATCAAATAGGGATTTTAAAAGAAGAATTCTTTCCATTTTCAATAATCTTCCTTTCCCAGGTTTCCTTGAGAAACGCCTTGAGGCTTGTACTATAAGACTGTAAGGCTGTTAAAGCAATCTGCAATGGATTCAGAGGAGTTTGGATTTCCATTAATCCAGTATGTGGATTCCAGGACAGCAGCTTTTCCCAAATCTCTTGCATTCCACAAGCTTGTGAAGTGATGTTTCACACTTGTGTTAATTCACATTAGCGCAAGTGTTCATTAGTACTAACATGCACATGTGCAGATGCACTGATCGAGATGGATTAGCACACTTTAGCACTAATTTGCAGTAGGATCATAGAATCGTAAGTAAGTAATGAAGATTAGTTCATTTGCATAAGTGTGCGCTAACACAAAAACACAAAATGGTGCAAGTAGAACAACCTGCTCATAAGAATTTCAGGTTCTGTCATTGAGAGACTAAAAGAAGGAAAATGTTTGCCGGTCACTAAATGGAAGAAATTTAATGAAATGCTTATATTCCTAGGACACGGTAGGCCTGTACTTTGCTTATAATCTTATAGTACAGGAGAAAGAGGCAAAAAATTAAGACGATGAGCCTGAGTGTAAATGGAAGAAAAGAAGGATTGTAATAAGCTTAAAGGACTGATCTTTAACACTGAAAGATGTATCAAGGTCATTTCTAATTCACCACACTATTTTATAGGTGATTTTGTGTTTCAGTTAATTTGGTCAGAATTATTACGGTTATGATCAACTGCAAAGACTGAATTCTCTGAGTTGCAGACTCAATATGTATTCATTATGTGTAAGGAACTGTGGTAGTAAATAATCTTATTCCTTGCTAATAAAACTACGTTTGCTTCTCTTAAGTTATAGTGTTGTGTATGCTGATTTGTTGAATTGACTTTTAAAAACTGTTTACAAGAATGTGGTTTGTTTTAGTGGGTTGCTTTTCACTGCCTTTTTCTTCTGCATTTTTTCAGGCTCAGAAAAATGAGAGGGAGTCTATCAGGCAAAAACTGGCACTGGGAAGTTTCTTTGATGATGGCCCAGGAATTTACACCAGCTGTAGTAAAAGTGGCAAGCCAAGCCTTTCTTCTCGGTGAGTGAAATGGTATTCTGCATATTTCTTCTTTAAATAGCTTGTATGTGGCATAATATCAGGATATTTCTGTCACATATATAAAGTCCAGGGTTTGAAGGCTGCATGACATTATTGTCAATGTTCTGCCCATTCATTATTTGACTACAAATTACACCTCTCTGAATGCAATTATTTAAAACTTCTTTTATTTCTAGTGACATGTGTTTGGAAGTTCTGCATTTCTGTAGTTCTATACAAATGTCATGGCTGCTTCCACTTGGGGGAACATAAATTGTTTTTCCACAATTTTGTTTTCTCTTTCTTTTAAAATATGTTGGAAAACATACTTTTATATTCTTTCCCAGAAGGCATCTCAAAACAGGAGAAGTGCAATGTAATTATTCAAAGAAGTGTCAGTAATGTCTTTAACTAATGTTTTTTACAGATTTAAAGATTATTCTAGAACCATTCAGGTATTCAGATAGCAATTTAATTGTCGATGTTATCTATACTGTACCTCTCATAAGAGGACTTGACTAATCCATGGGATTTGGGTTGCAAACAGGAAAGGGCAGTCAAGACTTCCTCGGCAAACAGTGTACCATAGTGTGGCATCCTCTCACTGTGCTGTGATGCTGTTGCAATCTGTTATCTTGCAGCTGGAGATTGGCATCACTCATATCCTATATTGTGGCTCTGTCCACTCTCAAAAGTGGGCAGGGAGTCAGAGTGATGTAGTGGTTGGACTAGGACTAGGGAGACCACTCCTCTATGAAGCTTGTGGGTGTCTTTGGGCTGGTCACTGAATCTCAACATAAACTACCTCACAGGGTTGTTGGGAGGATGACATGGAGAGGGTCTTGTATGCTGCACTCTGGGCTCCTTGCAGGAAAGGCAAGGTAGAAATGTAACACAGAAGCACACAGAAATACAGAGAAACTGCATTACATTCATATGCTGCCTTCTTTCCTCTTGCAAGGAACCTAGGCAGCTTCCATAGATTACTCTGGTTTTATCCTCACAACAACACTGTGATTTGAATTAGGCTGAAAGTCTGTGATTGTCCCAAAGTCACCCTGCATGGCTGAGTAAGGACTAGAACCAGTTCTAAGGAAACTAGACTAATGGGACTAGAATTTAACTGACCCCAGCCCCCCCTAATCAATTGGGGACTAGGTTATGGTGGTTCAGACATAATTCCAAATGACCATGCAAAGAATCCATAGGGACTTTCCATCATGTGGACTCATGCCCCGCAATTCTTCACCTAAATTCATTTACAAGAGCACAGGAGAATAAAATCTCCAGGTGATTTGAGCTGTTTCTCCTTTTCATCATCAGCAGATGAGGTTGTAGATGAGCAAAACTAATATCTGACTTTGGCAATGGACTGGATGAGGGCTAAGAAACTGAAGCTCAGTTCAGGCAAGACTGTTGGTGGGTGGTTCCTCTGACTGAATGGAAGCTGTTCATGCTTTTATGGATGTCATTTGGGGTAATCCTTGCTCCGTCTTTCCATCGTTGTCACTTGAGGTTCAGCTGGCCTCCGTGGCTTGGAGTGCTGTCTACAAGCTTTGGATGGTGGCACAGCTACTGCCCTCTTAGGACAGGGCTCGCCTGCCTGCCTGCCTGCCTGCCTGCCTGCCTGCCTGCCTTTCATAATTTCTGCCCTGGTAATCTATAAATTATATGACTTCAATGAACTCTGTATCAGGCTCCCCTTGAAGATTGTTCAGAAGGTGCAGCTGGTGCAGAATGCAGCAGCCAGACTGGTAACTGGAATGGCTAGTTCCAAGCACATGGAACCAGTTATGCCTGCTTATATTGGCTCCCTGTATACTTCCTGGCCCAATTCAAGGTGTTTGTTTTAACTTATAAAGCCTTAAATGGGTTGGGGTCATAATACAGTGGTACCTTGGCTCACAAACTTAATCCACTCCAGGACTCTGGTCGTAACCCAAATTTGTCGTGAGCCAAGTAAAATTTCCCCATGAGGTTCAGTGTAAATAAAGTTAATCCATTCTGTAACCATTTTTTTTAAATGAGAAAAATGTGAAGCAAAGTGACAAAGAACAACAAAGATCGCAGCCATCTCCCCACCCCCCCCCACCCCGAGCAGGAGCGCAGCCATCTCTCCGCCCCCCCAGCACGACCGTGATCGCACCCATCATCCCAGCACACTGCAGGCGCGATCGCGGGCACACTGGGGGGGGGGGGGGAGACGGCCATGATGGGGGGGTGGCCACAATCGTGCTGGTTGGTGTAGGGGAGATGGCCGAGATTGCACCCATCTTTCCTGCAGGAGCGCACCCGTGATCACGCACATCTTCCCTGCACGAACGCAGCTGTGATCGTGGTCCTCTCCCCACTCGGGAGCGGGGGGAGGTGGCTGCGATCTTGGTTGCCACCCAATGTGGAGTTCTCCGCCCATGTCAAAATTTTCACGAAATTTTTGTTCGCGACCCGATTGGTCATGAACCAAGGCGTTCTTGAGCCAAGGTAGCACTGCACCTGTCAGAACGCCTCTCCCAAGCAGAATATGCTTGTCACTATGTTTGGCCTCTGGGGCCTTCCTCTGAATGCCAGCTCTGAAGGAAACTTGGGAATGTGGCACAAGGTGGAGGGCTTTCTCTGTGATGGCCCCCACTCCAAATTCCCCACTGAGGTCTGCTTGGTACCAACTGTGTCAACTTCCCAGTGCCAGGTTAAGGCAGCCCTTGATGCTGAGGCTTTTAAAGGTTTACTTGGCTTGAGGGGATTAACCATCCCAAGTGTTTTTCATTCTTCAGCATATAATTTAGATGCTTTCTTTAGTGTATGTTTTCTTTTTTTCTTTAGTGTTTCTTTGATGATGTGGTATTTTAATGTATTTTATTTTCTTGTTTTTATGGATTGTTGTGAATGCCCAGACAGCATCAGCTATGGGGCAGTATCAAGATGATGATGATGATCATCATCATCATCATCACCATCATCATCATCAAAGATTTATAACTCCTAGTGATTTAACAGTGACAAAACCCTTGGTCCCTCCTAAATGACACTACTGAATTTAAAAAAAAACTTGAGAATAGGAATGGATTTTTTGTGAGCTTTGCTTTTGATACTGAAAACAAAGTTCTGAACTGAGCACATGCTCTTTGTCCCTCAATTCTATGCATGACTTCCCAGTTCCCTGTTTTACACCCAGCCTGTTTGCTTCTAGTGAAAGGTAAAATAGATCTTAACATGCCTGAAGGCTGCCCGCTTCTGAACTGAAGACTAACAATCCAGAATCATGAGAACGAATTAACTCTATTTCTTCCTTCCTCCACAAAATAAGACCACTCTAGGGTTCTCCATGGTTCACCCCACAATAACACTATGATGTTTAACAGCCTGCAAGCAGGTAGCCAGGGTCAGCCAGGCATGTCTTTACCACCTGATTCTTGCCCCTGATTCCAGCCAGGTGACAATTGCTTTGGTCTGTAATCCTGGGAACAGCCCTGTCTATCTGAAATACCTGCCTTTAAATACCAGAGCAGATCTGTGTGTGAGATGAGAGACCGGGGAAAGAAGCTCCCACAGTGCTGCAGTGGCATCTAAAGGCGACCATGATATTGCAACAGGCATCGCCTTGGAGCATCTGCCATTTTTAGTGTCAAAGACTGAGAGTCATTTTTCTTAAAAGCTACGTAGGAGACCAAATAACTGTTGGGCACCCATTCTCCAAAAGAAGCTCATTCATTTCCAGACCTACAGCTTGATTTTCAACTTGCTTTAGGGATGCCTATTCCCCTGTCAGAGAGCCTCCAGGTGTGCTGGATTACTGCTCACGTTATCCTTGGTGAGCACATAAACAGATCTAATCCACAAAATCACCTATGATGTGTGTGTATACCCACAATCAAACACATCTGTGGGGCACCACACTGGAGAAAGCTGCTGCAGAACTTCTTCATACAGTGCATAGACAGACTATGGAATTCAGCTCTACAAGATGTACTAAGAGTTGGCTTTAAAGGGGGGTTGGACAGATTCATGGAGGAGAAGCCTGGCAGTGGCTGCATGTCCTGAGGGGTTCTCCAGTACCAAAGGCTTATGTGCACTGATTGTTGGGAAGTTTATGGGCGGGCGGCTGCTGTTGCATTCATGGCATGTTTGTGGGTTTCCCATGGGCAGTTCATGGCAGTTCATGGGCCACTGTGTGAACTGACTTCTGGACTAGATGGAATCCAGGTCTGATCTTCCTCTGTTCTTATTTTCTTAATGCATGTAGTGGAATTGTTAGTTTGGGAAATTTTCACTTGCTATAATTTTCCTATTTGGTTGCTTAATGTACTTATTAGTGAGGAAAACAAAAGGCAAAAGCGTGACGTGCTTTTGCCTGATTTGGGACAGAACAGCCATCTTTTAGCAAGTGTGGTGACATTGCTATTCTTAAGGGGGATTTTTATGCCATTATCTATTGATGATTTTTCTGCCTTTGTTGAGCTGCTGCTGGAATGTTAGTATTTTTGCTTGTTTTAATATTGTTTGCGGGGGTTTTATGGTGTGTGCAAGCTACTCTGGGCCACATGAGTAAAAGATGTGGGATCCCGTGATATGAATAAATGAACAGCAAGCTGAAGAATATCTGAAGTAAGACAAAAGGGGGTTGCTGTCTGCTTGCCTTGGCATAAGAGCAGTTCAGGATCAGCATCAACTGTACACCTGATCAGGCACTGGCCAAGGGCTAGCATCCCAGCAGCCTCCCCCTCGCAAGAGCCCCCTGGACTTCTCCTTCTCTTCATTATCTCAGTTGCCTTGTCTACCTGCCTTTCACTCTAGGTCAGACAACAGATATTGTAAAAAGGAGACACAAACAAGTGATTGCAACAGCCAAAAAGAAAATGAGCAACAACAGCTGATGGCACTGCTAGGAGAAGGTAGACTTGCAGGAATGAGCCCTTTGAGGGCCCTCCAGAAAGAACCTGGATTCGGCACTGCAGCAGTTCATGTGTAATCTGGCAATCGCTTGTTTTTAAAAGAGCCTTTCT